GATGCGCCTGCAAAAAACGTTTTCCTAGTAGATAAAAATTAATTTAAAAAATATCTCCAATCCTAAATGTCCCTTTTTCCTGACTTGTTTGAAGATCTGCCTTTTGGAAAAAAAGAGTTGTGGATACACTCTTTTTCTTCCTTTTTTTTTTAATACTGTGGGGAGGGGAACGGAGGTGAGGCCCACCCAGGCGCTGCCCCAGACGGAAAGGGCCCAGAGTGGGTTTTCCCGTTCAATTCCGAAGGGAGCCAAATAACGGGCTCCCACCGCCGGCTGGGCTGCCCTTGGCTCAATCGTAAATGCAACGGCTTTCACCCGTTCTCCCGCCACTGGCCGCGACCCGAAACGTCCGCAGAAAGAAGTCGGCTGTTAATTTAATCCGGCCCCTGCAGCCTTCCCCTCGGAGCTGCGAGCGTGCCGAGCGGGAGGAAGCCAGGGATCCCTGAATTCGATCCAGCGCGCCCCCCTCGCCCCCCGGCCCCCGCTCCAGCGAGTCCCGCGGGCCACCGACACCTACCAGCCCTAGCATCCTGCCGTCGACCCCCATACAGAGGTACAGGAGGCTGTGCACGCCCTTGATGGCCACTTTCCGCAAGGCGACTGCCCTGATTTCCACCAAACCTGATGCGAGAGAAGCAAAAAGTTGCAGCTGGACTCGCGTGGCCCACATGTGGATGGGTCGGTCGCTGCCGGTGCCGCCCCCTCCCCCCCATTTCCCCATCTCCTCCCGTTGCTGGGGGCCCAGGGAGGGAGTGGAACGCCAAGGTGCCAAGCCCAGGGGTTCCCACGAGGGAGAGGTCCGAGGGAGCCAAAGGGGAGTCAGGGGAGGGTAACACATGGCTACGGTAGGTCCACGCACCCCCTCCCCCAGTCCTCCAGCTGTTGTGACCCGGGAAGGGAAGAGCACGAGGCTGTGCCCAAACCTGGCGCTATCGGGAGCGGGGAGCCCGTGGGAGTGGAAGGCGGTGAAGGGAAGAATGGGCGCTAGGCAGGAGGGGGACCCGCGGGCACTCACTGTGCGCGCTCTGGCCCCGCGCGCAGTCCACTGCGCCGTCGGCGCGGATGCGCAGGAAGCAGCTGGATGGGCCGTGGGGGCCGGAGGTGTACAAGTGCCGCAGGCGGATGGACTCCCCCCAGCCGTAGTGCACATGCGGCCCAGCGTCCGAATGAGCTAGGGGGCCCCCGGCCGAGGTCAGCCAGAGGCCGGCCAGGACCAGGGCGCGGGCCACAACGCATCGGCTCAGTGCGCTCCGCATGGCACCTCTCTCGGGCTCCAGGAGCAGTTCGGGCGGGCGGCTGAGGGGTGCGGGAGGCTGGGCCTCAGTAGGGACGTCGTGCGGGGCTGTGTGCGAGGAGGTGGGGGTGTCCGCGGGGGCCCCCAGCCGGCTGTGCACTCTGGGTGCGCTCCGCTGCTGCTGCTCCGAGGGCGCAGCGACTCCAGGCTATCGGCCTTATATAGCGCGTCTCACCCTCTGGGCGGGTGGGTGCCCATGACACCCGAGCATTTCTTATCAGGATTGCATCAGGCCCCCGCCCCCCAACACACCCACTCACACTCCGCCTCCAGCCCCAGCCC